AAATTGAGTTTGAGACCCCTGATTTAGGCCTTTGTCTGTGCAGTCTTGTTCATAGCTGATCAACGCTGTTACTTCCTCTGTATTGTGATTTATAGGTTTCATCATTTTTTACTGAGTAAGGTGAACCGTTGGCGCCGTTTTCCCACAGGGACTCGGAGCCTTTCCTTACAGTATCACCTAACACACAGCGAGCTGACGTCGACGTCGTCGTCTTGAACTGCAGTAATCCCGTAAAAAAGGGTTTTTTATTTTCCCCTCGGGTGGAAGCACAGCGGATAAACAGTGTCAGAGCTGTCTTCCCTCTCAGTATGCGGTGTCTCGTATCTTCTGCTAGCAAACGAAATTACAGGCAGTTAATGACTGTTTTTTCCTGTACCTGTGCAGACGTGCTCGGCCATGACAGTTTCAAGTGGAAGTCTCATTTTCTGAATAGTTTGGAGTAAAACCGCTGTGGTTATGAACATGAGCGGAGGATTGATGGGAGTTGGTTGGTTTGACTCAACTCTCACTTTCTATTGCCTTATTTACAATTTCATTGCAAATAATGGTGCACAAAAAGGTCATAGGTCGCTTCGGATTTGGGGCTGAGGGACACACAAAATGACTTCCTGTGGTCCTGATAAAGGCTTCCTGCGTTTAACAATGTTTATAACTTTCCAGATGTGTGTGCTTGTAAGAAATGCCGTGCTATTTTCGTGACATTTTAGATTTTGCAGCACATTTGAGTCTCCAGCCCCGTAAAGAATCTTCTAAATGTTGTCTTTTTATTTAAACTGGTCGAGTGGTAACAGAGCACCGGGGATCTGCACGCTAGTAGAGCATACAATTAAAATTAGCTTGTGTCTGTTTTTTTCGATTGCCAGTAAAAAAAATGAATTTTTTAGATAGACCCAACTTAATAAACTCCAAGGTTTTTTTGTAAAAGTACAGATTTAGATAGACCCAACTTAATAAACTCCAATGTTTTTTTTTGTAAAAGTACAGATTATCCTAAATTCCCTTTAAGTGGTATCACTTCTGTTCTCTGCTGCTCCAGTGTAAGAGCTTTTCTTTCTGCAGCTACAGTTTTATTTCTGTTCTTGCAGCCTCATTTTGGACTTCAGTGGATGATGAAGAAGAGTAAACCTTCAGCACGGCCGGCTTCATCTTCCCATTGTCCTTTACTTTACTTTTAGCCTCACCTTCTTATTCAAATGTAGTTTTTTTTCTGATCCTCAACACAAAGCTGGCACTGTCCAAACTTCAAATCCTCAGACTGCAAAACAACAAAGCACGACTGGGTGACATCATCGAGTCGCCACTTTAGAAAAAGAAAACCCAGCAGAGAGACTGTGCTGCAGTTAACACAACCGATGTGTTGTCTTCTGCTCATTTTCCTCCGTGTCTCAGCGATTATGTTACTGTGACTCAGAGATCCAACCCGGTTTGCGGTGGTGGTGGTGGTTACAAGACGGGCTTATCAGTGGTAGACTGTGGAGGAGACATGGCACAGGCTGGTGTTGAAGTCAGTCACGCTACGGCAGTTAAAGGCTGCCCAGTGTTGACAGAGTCGAAGGGCAATATGACAGATGAAATACCCCCAATAGGTTCAGCAACGGGTTTTTTAACTCTCCAAAATAAAGGCTATTCACTGAAACAAAGATGAGGACAGTCATATATCATTCAAGGGGGCGCTGTGACAGTGTATACAATGTGGTTTTGTCTTAAAGACAATGACGTTACATTGGAGAAAAAAAAAGAAGAAAATACTACACCTCAGCCGTGAGGAATGAAAGGGGAATGAGTTCATGTAGGTTTGTTTGTTGTTAGCTGTTAGCAAATTAGCAAACAAAACATAATGACTCTGTCAAGTAAGATTGTTTTTCCATCACATTAGATTTAGTACAACATTTCTTTACAAAGCTCACAAATTTAAATAAGTCAAGTAAGATTGTTTTTCCATCACATGAGATTTAGTACAATTCTTTACACAGCTCACAAATTTAAATAAATTTGTTTTAACTGGATAGAAAACACAAGTCCTTTATTTTTTTTAAATATATCTTTTGGTTTAACTAACTTTTTTCCCCAAGAGCTAAGCTATAGACACTACAGACTGGTTTCCGTTTCTGCATGTATACTTACACTAACACACTAACACACACTAACACACACACATACAAAAGGCTTATCTCCACAATCAGCTGAGAAATACCGGGCGCTGCGCTCTGCTGCGCTCAGTTCAGGCCGATGGCAGCGTCAGACGGTAAGAGTTTGAGAGAGACTCTTTGTATTATCAGAGCCTGAGACGGACAGAGCTGTCGCTCCAGAGAAAATACCCAGATTAATGTACATTAGCACATGAAGTCATTAAGGAAACAGGAAACACCACAGGAAATGCCTAAGAGGGCGTGTAATGCCATCTCTGACCACTGCAGTACAGATAGAGTGTTGTGTGTGGAGCACGTTAAGATTCTGACAGAGTGACACACACATTAATATTTATCACGTTAATATCACATTAACGATTAATCATAATTAATTGTTACTGATCCACAGCTACTCTGTCAATATCAGATAAAAAAACGCCATCAACTTCACAGCCTTAGTAACAATAATAAAAAGTATCAACAACTTCTTTAAGCAGAAAATCCAATGTAAAGTTTTTAACATTTTTTTCAAATATTCTCTCATGGTTTAGTTCAACTCTAAAGTCTAAACCCATGAACCCAAACGGCTCGTGACGCCTCCAGGCCTCAGCCATACTCAAAGTTACGAAAGTCAACTAAGTGTAATTTCTCACAGGTATCAGATCCTTATCTCGTGTGTTTAACAATCAGGGACTTTTGGTTGATTGAGCAGAGGAACCAGCCAACCCGGACCTGTCGTCACAGTCACCAGCCTTACACAAGATCGTAGGGAAACGCTTATTTCATACAACAAATGCTCATTTGTTATCCTCCCGGGGTTCACCAATAAAGAATGCATCTTTCTGTGCGGCTCAGTGAGTGTGAAAGAGCTCAGTCTGTTAAAGCAGGTGTTTGGCAGGAACAGACACAAAAAATGCTGAAGTGCATGAATGGACGGCCAACGTGTTATCTGGAGGTGATCAGATAATATTCAACGCACGTTTTAGAAAATCACGGGGATTATAACGCCCATTGTGAACAATCTTAGCACTCGGACGCAGGTTCGACCTTCCGTGACCTCTTTGGTTGGAAAGTGTTTTGCTGTGAACCACTGGTTAACTTTCTCTACTGTTATTACGATAGAGAAATCACCAGTTTCCTGTTTTTGTTTAGTTTTTTGTTATGCAACAATTACGCAGATACACACGTGTGGCTACCTCAGTGTACGTGGTTCCGGTGATAAATACATAGTTTGTCTGGGAAAATATGACAGGTTATGTAACAGACACACCTGGAGACACACCTGGAGACATTCAGTCCACTGGTGTTTGACCTTTACGACACTACGATTCTTTAGATCACCGTCAGTCACAGGAGGAAAGTTAATCTGGTTTTTTAGGATGGGTTTTTTGTGTTACATCACTTTCTGGTGTCAGGTTGTCTGGAGGTGATGATATCATCGGCGTAGAGTAACGGACCGTGGTCAGAGGACGATCCTGGGAACTTCTTCTTATTTGTTCAGCAGCGTAACAACCATGAAGACAGTAGATTACAGCTTGATGAGTCCATGCTGAAGGCGACGGTCACATGTTGAGATGACTATCTAACCTCTCCTTCTGTCCGTGATTAACCTCTCCCGCTGATTAAAAAAAGTAAATAAAAATAGATGATCTAAGACCAAAGTAATCCACAACTAAATTAAAAACGTCGTTGTTAGCACAGCAGCCAGAAGCCAGATGTTTGGCAGAAGAGCTCCTTATTCATTTATATTTCTTGTTACTGACACCTTTATGTGTTTACTTCAGTGGGTGTTCCTCAGCCCCCGCCTCCCCCCCACACCCCCATGACCTCACTTTCCCAGAAACCCGATCCCCCTGCTACCTACACAGACCTCGGCTCTGGAGTCGTCCCTCTTAATCTCTCTTCATAGTTTTTCTCTTCTGTCATCTGTTATGTGATGGTTTCATTTCACATCAGAAAGGAGCAGTTAGGTCCTCGCACCCAAACACCGAGGTTTTACTCTCAGGCTGTCAAGAAGAGGTTTGGCTGAGGGGGCGGGGGGTCCGCTGGAAACCAGGGTCTGTTTTTTTCATTAGACAGAACCTTGAGAAAACAAACACAGAGAGAACGCGTTACCTTTTAACATTGTTTCTTCCTGGAGCACTTAAAAAATAAGAAAAAAAATTACAAAATTACATTATATCATTATTATCAGATTTAACTGAAACGTCACTACGGTGACTGTTGTGCTGAGCTGGAGATGCTGGAACGTTCTGGAAGGATCCAGAGTGTCACCTGTAGGCTGTTGCATCTCCCTCCCCGCTTTATAGATAGCCAACAGATGGAACTAGGCCGTCCCTCTGCTAAAGTTAGACGTGCAATTAGTTCACACGTTAATTAGCTGTGAGAGGAGCTGAGGCCCGGCAGATTTCCCCAGTGTACGAACCCGTTTCCCAGCCTAAATAAAAGTAAATGAGGTCCTGGCAGCAGCAGACAGAAATGACCAAAAGGGGAAAAAGTTAAAAAAAAACCTGGTGGAACAACATTTTTATTAAACTAAAAACTTTTTTCTAATAGTAACAGTTCCAGTTTTTATTAAACTAAAAACTTTTTTCTAACAGTAACAGCAAAAAGAGTTCCAGCAAAATACATCAGTCTTTTGTTATTTCTTCTTTTCTCTTAAAATACATCAGTCTTTTGTTATTTCTCCTTTTCTCTGTAAGTCCACTTCCCTCCTGTGGAGCTCACTCCTCTGGTTAAAGGTATCTGTAAATCTGGATGAAGTGGATCTGGACTGATGTTCCTGTTGAGTTTTAGACTGATGCCAATCTTCTCTCTCAGCTCTGTTGTAACCAAATGTGGTTTGGTTTTATTATCTGCACTTCCTCACCACGTTCCTACGCACATGTGTTTGTTTTTACTATGAACCAACCATGAAGTTCACTGGAAAAAATACCTAAGGTGTGATTCTCAAACCTGACTGAGGTTGTAGCTACTTGTTTTCCACAGCTCTCCAGGTCAACGTTGCTGTTGTTGCTGCTTTAGTGTTCATCAATGTGGACCCAAAGTTGTCCTGCTGATTAATGTCAAAGCGACAAGAAGCTAATTGGTCGTCTTGTCCCCAGGGACACATTGGCATGTAGCATAGCTTAGCCTCGAAATGAACCAGACCCACTGACCCACAGCTGCCCCGTGGAAGTTAATGCTGAGTACTTACAAGAATAGCTGCTAACCTTTGTGCGTGTGCATGTGTGTGTGTGTGTGTATGTAGTGGGGTGAAACCACAAGCCCAAGAATGTGAAAGGGCTACAACACAATTAAAGCTCTGTGAAGGGAAGTGCAGCGCTGGCAGGACTCTGACATCAGGTGCAGCAGAGACGCAACAATAGAACCTTCTGAGCTGAGGACGGGATCAGTGTCCTGTGGATCTCTGGTCATGAGAAGGGCCAATCGCTTCACTTGACAGACGCCGCGGACACTCGAGACAGTTACAGTGAGCACGAGTCATGCAGGTCAGCCTGACGGATTCCACCTTTAATAACCTGTATGTAAGTTGAAAAGACGGAGACCCCGCTCATCTTCCCAGGGTCTCGGATCGGGATCGTCGCCCGGCCAGAGACACATTTACGGGCTCTAATGATGTACAGCAGATACCGCGGCAGTGAGATCAGTCATCTTGGGTTTCCTTCGACGTCTCCAGCAGGAGCATAAATCACACCTTTTTCCACAAGCAGGCCTGTGTCTGTGAGACAAATATTCAAACTCTCCATCTGACTCAGACCACTGCAGTTTCATGAGAGTCAGGTTTCTGAGCAACACACAGAAGGAGGCTTCTTATTGTTTCTGTCTCTGACTGTTCAGGAGGAATTCTCTGGCATCAAATGAAAGCCAGGAGGTCTCACTGGAACATCAGCCATTCATGCACTTGTACTCCCCTGGAGGAACAGGAGCAGGAATCCCACCCATTTACCAGAACTAGGCGATGTCTTGAGGAAACGTAGCCTGATCTGTGAGATGAGGGTGGAGCGCTGCTGGGACGACCTTTCTTTTAATCTAACTGTTTTCCTGCAACGGTTTGGCCTGAAACTGACAACTCTCACCTTATGAGGAATTGAATTTATTTCAAATCTTGACATATGAACCTTGAGGAGAAACGACTCTCAAATCTCCAGTATTTTCTCACCACATTCCAAAAGACGACATACTTCATCATAACTTAAATAGCCTGTACCACGCCTGTAGACAAACAACGCTCCCATACAGTTCATCTCGACAACATAAACATCATGAGACGACAGCAGCACGTCAAAGAATTATGTTGTGAATTTCTGTGGTTAAAATCTATTGTTTACAGCAATTAGCATAGATAACTGTACTTCAACGGGGATTTTATTTTAACCATTGCAGATTTTTAACTATGATTTTATTTTAACCATTGCAGATTTTTGACTATATTTTTTATTAACACATTTTTATATGGCATATTTTATCAAAGCTATTCTTGCTAATGCTACATAACATTAGGCTATCATTTAGCTAAATGTAATTTATTTGGCTAACTTTTGGCTTTTAGCATACTCTAAGAGTGTTTCTTACAGTCAGGCTAACTTTAAGCATTTAAAACATTTTTTTGCCCCATATACAGTAGCTAAGTACAGGGTTTTTTATGCCTCGAGGTCAAAGGTGAAGAACTCATTGTCCTCCCAAGACTGTCTATTTTTACATCACATAAGTTACATTCCGTACATTCAGTCAGAATATTATTTGTGCACGGGTTACATACATTAGGAAGACAATGTGGTGTGGACTGGAGCTGCATTCTTCAGTTGGGGGGGGGAGGGGGGTAAATGGGGGGGCATTCAACCACTGTGTGGTAATTCTGGTTTTCCTTAAGAATAGTTCCACATTCTGACTGTTGTGATTATGAAACAATAGTGATAACAGTGTTCTGTTTCTGTGTCTCTGAGCGTCGTCCCTGCAGCTTCCAGCTGGTCCTCTTAAGTTTAGTGGTGATCTGGGGAACTGCATCCTCAGTTTTCATGCTGTGGATTTTCTACTTCTCTGTTTAACATGAATGCAGTTTAAAGACATAACTTTACTGCTTCTACCAATCCACTTCATTACTCAGCTCCGGTCATGCAACCCACGTGGGATTCACTCCGCTTCTCACTGCTCGTCTTGATTCCACTTGTAATCATGCACACACGGAGGCTCCGTCTTTAACAACGAGTCCTAAATATTGACGACGTTGTCCCAGCATCTCCAGATGGACACCCGTAAATCACACAGCCACACACACCCAGGGGAGTTCATGAAGAGTCAAACACCTCTGAGGGTAAAGACATCACCACAAGCCCCCTGATGCCCCCCCCCCACGTCCTGAGGGCCACAGCAGCAAGGAGGCCCCCAACACTTGGCAATAACTCCTTCATTCTTTCAGTGACACCGCACTTTTAATGCTCTCATTTACTTGCAAGTAAATCACAGAGGGGAAACTCTGCCGTGAACCTTTGACTCAGCTGTGATGATGGTCTGGAAGCCCTGAGTGGAGACAAACCAGATGTGATGTGACTGTAGGTGAGTGAGAAGAATCAGATGAAGAGGTGGAGGCTGGGAAAAAAGGGAAGGGGGGGGGGGCAAGGAGGCAGCATGTCTGAAAGTATACAAAAAATATCTGGCCCGGGATCCAGTCGTAGTACTTTAGATGGTGTCAATGTGGCCCTTGACGGAAAAAATAAAATAAAATAAAAGGAAACTGTTTGTTGCTTTTTATGTCCTGCAACAAAATAAACCAATTAGATTTAAAGTGTTGTATATTGTTAAATAATTATTACATGATACTATAATTTAATTTTGTTTTTCTTAGCTAATCTTAAGTCAGGTTCTGGGCCTTGCCCTCCTGTGGACTGATGAGGAAATGCGCTACCAGGTGTCACAAACAGACCCACACATACTCCCATTGTGGAATATTAATTATATACACAATAACAGTAATTATACACAGAATTGGTCACGCACTTAACAAAAAGGTTAAAATAATAATTATATATTTATTTTGCATTTTTGTAGTTTCAACAATAAGATATCTTTCAGCTTTTTACTCGTTTTGGCAACTTTTATCCTCAATTTTAGTTTTGGGCTATTGTTATGTAACTGTATGTACCCCCTCCCACCACCCCCTGGTTAAACACCATGATCCAAACAGAAAAACAATCTTTAGGAATTTGATTACAGACGAAGGGTTTGTGTCAGACCAGATAAAGTAAACCTGTGTCCTGTAGAGCAGCCAACATGAACCACATGCAGATACCAGAGCATGTGAATTGATACATTTAAGCCCTCCACTGTTGTAAAAGGGGTTGAAGCGCAGTCATATAGTCTGTGGGGCCATGCAGTTGTTGCAAGTGTGTTTCTGTTAAACCCCCATGACTGAATCTATTTTCTGAGGCACCTCTGACACTCGTCTCCACCACAACAATGTCCCCTTTCTCCTCCTCGCCTCACGCTTGGCTGACCTCCCTGAATACGACCTGGGGTGAAATAATCCATACACCCCTCCTCGCCCCCCGCCCCCAGAACCCACAGGCTGCACACACAAACACACACCACACACACACTTTGCATTTTGTGTTTTAAGGTAAATAAGTTCATTTTTAATCATCTTTGATAAACTTCTATTCTTGAAGACTTTTTCAGAAACAGTGATCAAAGAATGAAGACACGGTTCTCGCCTTTTTATGAAAGTATTATTAAAACTATATGTCCACTATTTTGGCAGTAAATACAAGTTAACTGTTTCTGCGTTTGTAAAGTTTACTTTACAAGTTTACTGCTGCCATCTAGTGGCTAAACACGTTAAGCTGCAACAAAAACGAGTCCTAAACTAAGATACTGCGACACTACGAAAGAACATTAGATCCACATTGACAATAAAAAAATAAAATGACTCAACAGACAGACAACTGAAGAGGCTGACCTTACTGATGAGGGCACTGAGTGGTCCAGCTGACAGACCATCGTAGACACCAGTGGAGATGGGAATGGCAATGATAACGTAGCTGAGGAGGCCTCACAGGTAATCAAACATGTTCAACTGTAAGAGGAGAGGTCAGAGGTTAACACCCAAAACATACCAGGAAGGAATTTTGTTTAAATAAAACTGACCTTTGACCTCTTCTGTGATTCATTAGAGATAAAAACAACTGTATGATAAGAAATACTGCTTCTCATTGATCAAGTTACTTTGTTGAAACAAAGTTCTTCCGGTGAATGTTGACCACAGTTATCTTCCACCACACCTTCTGTTTGATTTGTCCAACACAAGGGTCAAAGAGTCTTAACACAACTTCACAGATTGAACATTTACTTGACTAGATACTGTATTTGTATCTGATATCAATGTCTTCCTCCAGAATTCTACAGTGAAGAAAATATTCTGATGGAAACACTGTTGGCAAAAGTGTTTTAAATCAAGGGTGTGTTGGGAAGTAGCTTTAGTTGTGGTTCACTGTGTCAGCAGATAATACTGAGTAAGACAGTAGATGTAAATATAAACTAGACTATATATTGGTATAGCCATACTGAGTGTGCATATATAAAGTTTTCGTTTGTTTTAGGAAAGACGCTGCTGCCATCTAGTGGCTAAACACAACATTGTTTTTGACTCGTGAGGTTATTAGCGTTAGATATGGCCCTGGAGCCATGAGTTCAGCATGACAAGAGTGTGTGGGGTGGTCTTACTATAGAGCCAGAGTTCTTTGTTGATCAAAGTTGTTTGAGTTTGTAAGTTGTAGTTGACGACTTAGAAACGACGCATTAGGATGATACGAGGACTAAATTTAAGATTACACTCATACACATCGACCGATGCTTCTTTCCTAGCTTCATAAATAAAAGCTGGCAACATAATATCTGCGTTAAGTCTTACATTTTGATTTATCAAATATTTGGACGAAATTTTCCGGACGAGCCATCCGCTGTGCACTGAACACAAGCATGTTGACTTGGCGTCAAAAAAATGTAACGACATAAAAACTATCAAAGCACTACACTCTATAAAATGTCTAATCGTCACCTAACTGCTTCTCGTTTAGTTTAAACGATTAAACAAAACGTTTGTGATCAGGTTAGCCGTCCTTTCGTAATGTCCATGCACACCGAAGTTGACTAAATGTTTGTTTGTAAAACAAGAGCTCACATTTCCGGTACAATTTAAGAGCGGTATCTCTTGCTGCGCATGCGCAAATTAGTGGAAGGAAATGACGTAATTTTAAATGTACTGCGCTGTAGATTATTATTATTATGATCATTTCTTTATTTTTCCAGATTAAGTTGTTGTATAACAAAAATGACTAGGGTTCTTAACATGTAATTTACAAATATTCCTTGGCTCTAGTGTGAACGTTAGACAATATGTTACAACAGGAAAAAACAGTTTTAACATTTGGACAAATGGTAAAAGTCCGTGTTTTATAACCTCTGGTAGAGAACATCGCAGACGATTAGTGGGAGTCGATCTTCTGACTTTTGTTGGATCTTATAAACAGATTAATGGTTTTACTTGGGCTTTTCATTTTACAAATATTGTGAAGAGAGTTGGGGAGAATGTAAAAAAAGACTGAGCACGAAGCTGTTCAATGTGAGGTGTCGATTTGTATCCCTCTGCTGGACAAGTGGAGTAGTGTAATAGCGGTTGCGCTCCAGATGTAGGTGCTCTTATGTCGTCTCGTGTCTTATGTTTCTTTATAAATGTAGGTTTGGTTTGTAACTGTACTTTAAACGTAGGGTCACTTCTTTTATGTAAAAATATAATGTGTGAATTATTTTAAGTACAAAAAGACTGGGTCTGACTGTATTACTCAGGATGAACTACAACGTCTATTCACGGGCGCGAACCCACTACTGAGCGGCACGGGGGCTTTGACCTGCTTCGTTGCCGACCTGGGCCGGTACACCCCTCCTTAGACGGCCTGGATCTCCCGAGCTCCCCCGGGAGAACCATATCGATACCGAACTTAGTGCGGACACCCGCTCGACACAGTCCGCTGCAGCTCAGAACCCCTGAGCTCAAACCATCCGCCAGCCTCGGCCTCCCAGCAGCTGGGATTATAGGAGCGAGCCACTGCTCCCGGCGAGAGCTCACGCTCTCACACTGACTATAAACGTTGACTGGTGTGACGTCACAGTCACGAACGATACCGCGAGAGTTGAGAAAAGAAAACATATTTTTGGTCATTTTCACTCACATTTGAGCACTCAGTGATTTTCACTGTTGTCTTAATGACATGTTTGTTTACGTGTTAATTAATAGTTGATTCGTTCATGTTTTAGAAGGAATTTATTGTAGACTTTGTTTTGTCGTACACCTCGCATAGACTCGCATTAGTACATTATTATATACAGAACCCAAGGGCCGAAGAGGACAGGGACATTGTTTGTGCAACATTTTAATGTTTGCAACCCTCGCAAAAACATATTCATCTTACAAAAAATTTTAAAAAAACATTGACTTTTTTACAAGAAAAAAATCACAAGATGGTAGTTTTTCTAAATCAATGATTAAAAAAAAACATACTGACTTTTTTACAAGAAAAAAAATCACAAGGTGGTAGTTTTTCTAAATCAATACTAAACAGAAATATAAGTAAAACATTTTTTAAATTTCATCAACTCTGGTAGCGTCCACTAGGGGGAAACCTAGGGCCGTTTTTGACTTGCTCTCTCCCTGGGGCCCGTGAAGGACACAGCCAAAGCAAATTAATCACCTCAGCACATCTGACTCACCACAGACGCCAGTGTTTCTCACAGCCATCTCTCCTCCTCCTCCTCCTCCTCTCCTCCTTTAATGGCACACCACTGTTGCTTTTATAACAGCTCTCCTCACTCACTGTATATCTCCCAAGCACATCCAGGCTTAAGGGGGTCCATTAAATTCACACTCTTTGTTTACAGTTCGCCTTTGTTACCACCATCATTTCCATACACTGCTCTCTCCCTCTTTTCATATAGCATCTCCAGAGATGGCTCTGTCAAGGTCAGCTATTTTTACGGCATGTGATGTTGCAGGTATCACAGAGAAGCAGCGATAAGGAGAAGAAGAAGGAGAAGGGGACAGGGAAGAAGAAAGGATGGTTGAAAACCAAAGGATAAATGCTGTTGTTTCTTTGCTGGAGGAAGCCAGGGTGTGATTTTAGGACGTCAAAGATGGAGGAGCAGATGGAAGGAGTTACCTCATCTTCTCTGTCTTTCTCTCTGTTGTCCTATTCCTCACTCCTAAACTGCATGTTGACCTTTGTAGTAGAGCCTTCAGGCTGTATGCTTTAACCTTTCCAGTGAGAGAGACGGGGTCCCTGTACTGGGAATACAAGACAAATCACAACAGCTGTCTGCAAACACCGGAGACAGCAGGACACGACATCGTCTTCTTACTTTCACGGCTGATCCCTTCATGTAGTTCCATTGTGAAACATCTAAAAATTGCAATAACTAGACGTTACCGAAATGATCATTAAAACGCAGCTGTCAAAATATCTCAAATGTAGTTAAAACATTTAGAGTAGATCAATGAAGAAATGATAATTAAATATTGAACTATATAAATGGATACATGATTATAATAAGTTGAGGAAAATACAACAAAAAAATAAAGAAAGTTTCTTATTAGCAGAGATTTTTGAAAAGGTCTTTAAACAGTCAAGTGTTTCTGGTCTTGTTTATAGTCCGTGTTATCTCCTGGTATGTTATCAGTTATCGTTTTCTAAAAAAAAAGTTATTGTGTATTTCAGATCAATATGTTTCTCTTTTGATCAGCTGGCTGTCTTCACATTTAAAAAAATACACGCAGTGTTGAATCATTTTTTGATAAAACATACGACGATGAGGCGTTCCTGTTCAGACGGCCAGGCCTCGGGGCTGTTATATCTACAACTAAGTACTGAATATTTCATCTTTCATTAAAATGCACTATGAGTAATGATGGCGGCAGGAGAGACTTTAGGGTAGCCATTTTCTCTCTGTTTCTTGAGTAAAACACAGGGGTCATTAGAAGTCATTTCTGGTCAATTTTGTATGATCAACCATGCTCCAAAGACAGACGAGGAGGGGAAAAAAAAATCCAATTTACTTTCTGTGCTTTGGGAATTCATGTAGAAAGAGATCAAAGGGGACAGACAAAGAGATGACAGGATCGACATCTTCTCATCTCCATGTGGCTCCCTGTGAGAAGGGGAAAATTACTTTAAAGCTGCTGCCTTGATGAAAGAAAAGGGTCTTATGCCTGATGCATTTCTCCAGAGGTGAAATCAACAGTATAAATGAGTCAGAGGCAGAGAGACATGAGAACACATTTGTTTGAGAGAACCTAAGAACCTATTTTGGTTGAAGAACGAGAGTGCAATTTGATGGCAGCGAACAAAACAGCGATTCCCCGTCAATGGATGTGAACAACACAGTGATGACAGAAGGGTAACACATATCATCTGAATGGAAGCACTTTCACAGCTGCAATCAGGGAAGTTAAACACACTGCCTCAACATGATCATCAGAGGCTCAGGAGTCCAAACGTTTTTCATCTGAACAGAAGAAAATTAAAAAAGAAAAGTGAGAATACCTGGAGGATGAGTCATTTTGTCATTTTTAAGATTACAGTTGTAATCTTGCAAACCACTGGAATAAATTGTAATGAATTATAATTTCCAGACAAAAACACACGTTCACGTACAAACACACACTCGGTATGAAGCACCAGGCGACGAGCCTTTAGTCCACTCAGTCTCTCCTGGTCCCACTGTGCTCCTCGGGTGGTCTTTAGTGAGCTTTTACCTGGAGCATGAGCGTTCAGAGGTTGCTATGGTGACGGAAAGAGGAAAACGAGTTTATAAAAAGGGGGAGTTGCGTTGCAAACTTACTGAGAGGTAGCAGTTTCTGCTGGCTGGTTAAATATTAGCACTCAGCACAACACAAATATTTGCCAGATCCACAGCAGACTTCTGCAGTGGTACCTGGTCCAGGAGTCCAGGAAAGAGTTTCTAAAGGACAGCAGCTGGCCAAGGACGTTGGGGACGATGTCCCCATGAGTGTAGCGCTCACAGAGCTGACGAGAAACTTGGGGAATTCTTTGCGTTTTGTCGGATGCTAACAAATGACTCACGTTTACTAATAATAAAGTAAAGTAAAACACACTGTCAAGAGATGGCTGATTATGATTATGATGTTGGTGGGTTGTTTGTGCCGATTTTACCCAAAATACACTTTGAGAAAATATTGACGATCCCCTTGTACATTTGGACGTCGTAAAGTTAAAAGTGCGTGTGAAAATCAAGCACGACGTTTCATTTAATATTATACACCTAGCTACATGTTTACCTACCATGACTTATTTTGACTGACACAACCTACCATATATCTATCTCCACTAGAGGGCGCACTCATCACAAGCAAACCTAATTTAACCGTGAATAAGGTAGTCATTGTACAGAAGTTAAAGAAGTAAACAAGCAGTTTTTTAAAAAAAATAATGGCAATTAATCAAAGTAATTTCCATTCGAAGAAAGATGTTTTTTTTTTCATTTTAAGAGTTGGTGCTGTATTTATAATATTATTGTTTACAGTCCAACAAGTCATGAAAATAAAATAGTTCCTCTGACTTCCTGTGTGCATGCAGAGACAAATCAGTTCTGTCAGAGCTGTCAGAGCTCTGAGCCAGCCAGGCTGATTCCACACAGAGCAAACAGAAATGAAAACACTGTAAAGAGACTCGTGGGGTAAGAGGGCAAGAGAGAGAGGGGGAGGGCAGGACAGAAGCCGGCTGAATCACTTAGCAAGCTGTGCTCCTCCATTCTGCAGCTGCCACCTACCACCACACATCTGCCGCTGCACACAAACACCGGGAGAGAAAAACCACAGCCAAATGAATCACGGCACATACGCCACCGAAGATCGCTTTGTCAAAATGAAATTTATTTGAGGTTGTCCCAAAGGGCACGTGTGTGTGAGAGAGAGAGAGAGGGAGAGCCCAGGAAGCCTCCTACAGGTGGCACCGAACAACTACGGAAATGGAGAAAAGCTCACAAAGATGATACACTTCAGCAAAACCATTAGAATTCTTTGTGTGGAGCCAGTGGTTCTTCACCTCCTCCCCTCTCCTCTCCTCCCCTCTCCTCCCCTCTCCTCTCCTCTCCTCTCCTCTCCTCCCCTCTTTTTCTCTCCTCCTCTCCTTCTGACTTTG